CCCAAGAAATATAATGCCCGCAATAGGAAATACAAACTTAAAATGGCCCTGTTACTTTCTCAGCACTGACTGACACTGAGCACGAAGTACGAGAGTCTGTCTATTGAACGTGGGTGTCTCCACCCAGAGAGATTGAACCATGGCACAGAGGTCCGCGGTCTTCTTGTGTGAAGCGACGACGGACGACGTCAGTTTGTTGTCGAACTTACGATCACGGAGATGACAATAGTGGGTTTATTATGATACACCAGACATAGTAGTTTATTTACGGGATACAAAGGAAACTAAGTCAGAGACTAGTTGCTACCTCAGGATAACAACGTTCTATCTGCTCCATACCTCGTTTTGAGAAATTTGACGTCAAAATTTTCGAGTTTCACAACATATCAAGCTTTTTCGAAAGCAATTCTTTAAATGTTTTGATAGCAACTCGCAAATATTCTTACAATTTTCGTAGAGCAGAAAGAGTATTTGGTTTCTGACCTCATGGTCTTAATAACTCAAAACGGATAAAAATGTCAGATAGACCTCTGTAGTTCTGAGGAAGCGAACTACAACACATCAGCTGGATCCACCCGTCCCACCATGTCTCCTGAGGAGCGCCCACCAACCACCCACTCACTCACTGCAACTTGACAACAGCTGAAAAAGACATACTTTGTTCGACGCGTCACCCAAAACAACAGCAATAATGATATTATTTTATTTATAACAACGCATGCATTCTCAGCGCTGGGAAAATACAAGGCGGAGGTGCTGACCGACTCCGGAGAAAAATTCTGACCTGCGCAGGCCCAGCCCAGACAACTTGCGCGGGGGCACAAAATGTACGGGTCAAATTGTGAGGCATTATGGTGGAATCAGGCGCTCGTCAGAATTATATTTAATGAAACAAAGAAAATGGCATTTTTCTTTCCGTTTGGCAATTTTTATCCAATTTTTATTTTTTGGCTCAACACCGTTTATGTCTACTCAAAAATACAAAAATACAAAAATACACAGCTCTGTGGATTTTACTGAAAAACGATGGTAAACGCACCAAAAAAATGTACATTTACAGTAAACAAGGACTCTCAAGCTTTGACAATCACGAAACTTTGGCGGTCATTTTCTTTCTAATTTTACCCCTGAAAGCAAGTGACCCCCACTTCCTTCGATCTGAAATATCTCGACTTCTATTAAAGCTAAATCAGTAATTTTTTCATTGAAAGCAAGACAAATGAAAAAGTTTTAAGATGATACCAACAATTTTCTGTAGTAAAAACTGGACGAGCGCCTGTTTCCATTACGCCGGGACACATCTTGTACTTGTACCAAGAAGTCGGGGGAAAAAATCAAGACAATTTTTGTAATCCATATTTCTGGATTTATCCAGAAAGCCGCCACCTTTGTACAGCAGCCTATCAAGACACTTTGTTCTCCAGCGACAAAGAACGTTCTCAAAGAATTTGTTTGCATGAAGAGAATCACAGTAGACGTCAGCTTTCACCGCGATCCGCCTTGAAATCAAGCGATACACGTTGCAAATATCACAATAATGCGCCAGTTCTCTGCAGATGGCAAATCACAGCTCATGATCAACATTATATCAAAGAACCAAAAATATCAATGCGGGAGAAAAATCATTCAATATAATCATTTCACCATAGACTATACACTCTTTTATACAGGATTTATCTGTGGTGGAATACAATAAGTTACACTCACAATCACTCATTTCATACCCTGTGTCATTCAAAATATCTTTTCTAAATCAACACCCATTCAAAAAACAGCACAAGTAGGTCCCGTTTGAAAAAAATAATTTTTTTTATATGAACGGGACCAACAGTTTTCTTGATTCAAAAAAGAAATAGAAATCAAATTCCCGTCTCCCGGTTCTTTTACTTTTGACAAATGGAGGAACAAGAGCAGTGCAGGTGACGTCCGAAGTTCCAACAAAAGCAATCGAGGTCGACACACTCTCCAACATCCTGTCTCTGTTTTCCTTTCTTAGAATTGACTCAGATACAGATATAGCAGCAAGGAAAGAAAGGACCAAAGTCTTCATTTAGTTTTAGTAGAGGTTTTACGGCACTCGCAACTGCATAAGGTCATATGAGCACCAGAAGATTAGAGGTGTTACAAGAGAGTAACAAACATAAAAAAGAACCAGGGGAGATAAGCATGACAGATGTTTGATAGGAAGGAAAGAAGAAGCATACCACACCAGAGCACCCGCCAACCACCCACGACCAAAGTCTAAAGTAACACGTTTCTCCAAGCTTACGAAATATAGCGGAGTCTGCTTAAACCGAAAACAGCCCAACAACGAAACCCCAAGTTTTTATTTTCTTCTTCTTCTATTCGAGTTTGAACAACCTCTCACAACCAAGAACAAAACTCAACCAAAGAAAACATGGCTGCCCGACAGGTGTCAGATATTTACCACTTGACTTTCAGTACCATAGACTCATGTAGTGAAAAACTCCCACGTACCACACACAAAGTTTAGAATGCTGAAGCCGTGCTAGAATTTTTATTGATTAAAAAAAAACCGTGACAGCTCAAGAAACACGCTTTCAAAATTCCTAGAGGTTCATCAGCCATTCAGCTATCATATAGAGTGACTTCAAACTGCAATACTTTGGAATGCCATCAAGGTTCCCCCACCAACCACCCACAGCTGTATTCCACAAAGTGACCAAACTACAATACTTTGGAATGCCATCAAGGTTCCCCCACCAACCACCCACAGCTGTATTCCACAAAGTTACCAAACTACAACACTTTGGAATGCCATCACCGTTCCCCGACTAGCCAACAACTCCGTGACCAAAAATAGCTGGAGTTTTCCTCAAAATCTCCCGAAAAAATTGGGAGAACGAGGGAAAAAGTTGGGAGTCTCCAAAACATCAGTAGATTGAAGGAACCGTTACAAACAGAAAGTAACCAAACAAATGTGCGCAGCAGACGCACGCAAAAGTAAAAAATGTGTATTTTTGCGCCATTTATGAGAAGTCGTGTAAACATTGCAAATAAACTAATGTTCCCAGCGCCATTTACGATAAACTGCATGTGTGAGGCATCATGGTGAGATCAGGCACTCGTCAAAATAATGAAATCCCAGAAATCAACATTTTCATGAGGGTTCTGCGATTTTTATCAAGTTTTTGTGTTTTGGCTCAATATCTTTTATATCCAGTTAAAAGTACACTTTTGTGTGGATTTCACAGACAGAAAAACATTGATTAAAGGCACAGAATATGTACATTTGCAGTTTTCAAATACAATCACGCTTTGTAAGTTACTGAACCTTGAGGGCCATTTTCTCGCTAGTTTTATCTCTGAAAACATAAAAAAGAAGAAGGGGAGATAAGAACGATAGATGTTTGATAGGAAAGAAGAAGCAAACCACACCAGAGCACCCGCCAACCACCCACAGTTAGGGTTTGGGTCAGGGTCAGGTCTCTTCTTTATTGTGTTAGTTGGGGTGGTCGCTCGTTACGAAAGTCCTACCCAGAAATCAGGCCACGCCCGTCTACTTCAATTTCAAGAATCTCCAATACTTTTCAAGACAGAAGAGTATTTTTTCCATCGGAACAAATAAAAAAAAGAAGCCAAATGAGCCAGCTGTCTGATAATACCAACAACTCCACAAGCCCCAAAAACTGACTAGTGCCTGAATCCACCATGTTGTGAAACATATGACCTAGGAAAACAAAATTCAAGGAAATAAAATTCAAGAATTTATACAAAACCGATCGAAGTTCTTCGATGCGCAAAAATAAAATGAGACAACTTCGCTGGTCTGTGTAGTTGTTGAGCTTTGTTCACAAATGTGTGTCCTTTTGTTGACAAACCAAATGTGTCATTGTGTTCACAAACTAATCGCGTCATTTTCTTCACAAACTTAACACGTAATTTTGTTCATACAAACTAAATGCATCATTCTGTTCACGAACCAAACGCGTCATTCTGTTCACAAACTAAACGCGTAATTTTGTTCACAAACTAAACGCATCATTCTGTTCACAAACTAAACGCGTAATTTAGTTCACACAAACTAAACATGTTGTTTTGTTCACAAAATAAACACGTTATTCAGTTCACAAACCAAATGTGTCATTTTGTTTCAGAAACTAAACGCATCATTTTGTCCACAAACTAAACGCGTTATTTTCTTCACAAACGCGCGTCATTTTGTTTTGTTGTGCTGTGTTCATCACGAGTGGGTGGAGCCCCGGGAGCGGTCGGCCAGCCCCACCAGGTAGCCCTTGAGCTCTCCCTCGTAGTCGCTGGTGTCCGTTTTGTCCGTCAGGATCCAGGTGTCGTCGTGGCCAGCCACTTTTGTCCGGCACAGCGGGCAGTTGCTGTGACGTTCATCTCTGGGATGGGTGGAGGGGGGAGGTTGGGGGGGGGGGGAGGGTGGAGGTGGTAAGGGGGAGGGGTGGAGGGTGGGGAGGTGGTAAAGGGGGAGGGGGTAGGTGGAGGGGGTAGTAAGGCGAGAGAAACAAAAGTCATTAGTGTGAGAAAAGATGGAAGTGAACGTAAATGAAGGATTGTAGGGGGAGGGGGAGAGAGAAACAGAAGTCCATGCAAGAAAAGATGAAGTGACCGTAAATGAAGGATTGTAGGGGAAAGGGGGGGGGGGGGGGCTGCAAGTGAAATTGGCAACAGCACAAAGTCTGCTTCGACTATCAAAGTCAAAGCACCCCAGAAATAGTTCACAAGAGAGTGACAAACATACAAAAGAAGTAGAGGAAAAACTGACAATAATATAAAGGATGAGGAAAGAAAAAAGAAGCAGTTCCCCCTACTATGTTGTTCCAGCACAGTATGAGCAAGACATTGAGAAATCAGCCCATTTACAATTCTACTGGGCATAATAAGATGTTAATATTCCCGGCCTTTGGGAATGGCCTAAAGACACTTCAGTCAGTAGCACTGCTGCGGGATGCCTTGATAGTCGAAGCAGACCTTGTGCTGTTGAAGCTAGAGAGGTTAGCAGAGTAAGTCTGATTCCCTGTAAAGACTTCTCTGTTGACATCCACCCCTTGGCGCTCATATGACCGTATGCAATTGCGAGCGCCGTAAAACCCTCTACTATAAAAAAAAAAAATAAAAAAAAATAGCACTGCTCTGTGGGAGGAAACTTCTTTTTGAACAATAATACAAATCAAAAACAGACAAAATTTAAAATAATTGCAAAACAAGACATACCACCACGCACAGCCCTGTCCCTGTGCATTTTACGCATAATTCTGCAACATTTGCATAATTTTGGATTCCCGTGATTTACAGTGGAGTCCACTTAAAACGTGTCCTGAAACAACGAGAAGTCTGTTATAAAGACACTATTCTAAAACCCTGTTTTTGTCCCTTCTTTATCTTTGTAAATAAAATACTGCTATAGCGCAATCTGACAGTCACGCGAGTCGGTTATGGCGGAATAATGCTGCTGCTGTGCACAGCACACAGACCAATCGCACATATTATAAAACAGTTGAGAAAGTTGTTTTGTGATCCAGCGAAACAAAGAATGGGAGAGCCCACATAAACCAACAATGAAAGCCGGAGTGAATGAGCGGGGAGAGTGCGGCATGCGCAGACTAGCAGAACGCATCGTGTAATAGGCCAGCCCAGTCTAGATTATCTAGGCATACCGCGCCTCTCACTTCTCTGGTGCGGGATGGAGAGGTCACAATGCTGTGATAGATGGAGTGAATGTGTGACGTGCGCAAGCAGACGCAAAGTACTACAGGGTGTGGTGGGTGGGGGACAACACAGCGGGCGAGTTAGCCTAGAGCCAGAGCCCCTTCTTTCGGATCGCAAATGCCGAACTGTCAACATTGCTAGTGCAAGAGAAAAAAACCTGATTCGATTTTTGATCAAGTAAGACCTAGAGATCATGTTTGAACAAAATCATCAAAAGGGGAAATACAAAAAGGAATAAACAGAACGCCAAACTCATAGATTAGGTCTACTTTACTATTTCCCTTGAATTTATTACTGGATCCCTTGTAACGAGAATCCTGCTATAACGGACATTTGGCACCGGTCCCCTCCCTCTCGTTACAACAGGATTCCACTGTAGCACGTTTTTGTTCTTTCATTTACCAGAAAACAATTATTTAAAGGCTCGCTATTTGACTAAAGGGAAGTAATCATCGTAATAAGTCTCATTTAAGTGACGAATTGGTTATTTCCCTTGTTAGAAGAATCTTGGTTAATAATAATGGTTATGGGTTAGGGATTTTGTTCCTTGAGCATGTTTTTTTTTGTTGTTGAAATTTTTCTTTCCTCTATAGATCTAGATATCTAGGTCTACAGCTGAAAGTTGCAGAGATTATATTTTTTGGTTGTTTTTTTTTTCTGACTGATGTGTATTGCTTTCTTTCCAAATACACAAAAAATTACTGATATTGATAAGTTCTGTTTTTAATTTTTCGGTACATAAAACATGAAAATTCTTGCTGTAAAAATGCAAACCATGTTGTGAAAGCCGTGACAGCAACTTCCATAATTTTACTTTTTTCCCTTCAATATTTGACTGACATCCAAGTGGCACAACTTTTCTCTGCCAGAATTGGTCTCATCAGCCACAGTAATACCTTTAGTAATTCTTCAAGTTCTTCTACTTCGGAGGAGCAATATTCTCCTCTGTGGGTGTATTGGCCATCGTCAGACATTGACGGACGCGCTAGTAGCATTATTATTGTTATTATTATCATCATTATTATTGTTATTATTATCACTATTATTGTTATTATTATTATCATCATTATTGTTATTATTATTATTATCATCATTATTGTTATTATTATTATTATCATCATTATTGTTATTATTATTATTATCATCATTATTGTTATTATTATTATTATTATCATCATTATTATTGTTATTATTATCATCATTATTGTTATTATTATTATTATTATCATCATTATTGTTATTATTATTATTATTATTATCATTTTTGTTATTATTATCATCATTATGTTGTATGAGCTTACCGTGTCCAGTTGTCGATGCAAATCTCGCAGAACTCGTGACAGCAGGAGAGCATGACGCAAGCCTTTCTGTCCATGCACACGCAGCATTCGTTCACCGGGTCCTCCTCCACCTCTGTGTGAGCCTGCTTCTTAGATCTGTCACAATAATAGATAGCATATGTGAGGCAGCGTGGTGAAATCAGGCACTCGTCAAAATAATGAAATCCGAGAAATTAGAAATTTTTGGCCAGTTCGGAAATTTTTCCGAATTTTTGTTTTTTGGCTCAACACCTTGTATGTCCATTCAAAAACATTTTTTGTGTGGATTTTATGGGAATAGGTTGATTAAAGGCTCAACAAATTCAAATTTACCGTCTCCAAAAACTCTTAAGCTATGGAAGTCCTCAAACTTGGGCAGCCATTTTCTTGATAATTTTACCTCCTGAAACCAAGGGACCCCCACCTTCAATCGCAAATATTTCAACTTCTAGTCAAGATATAAATGGACATTCTTTTTTCATTGAAAGCAAGCCAAATGAACAACCTTTAAGACGATACCAATAACTTCATATACCCAAAAACTGACGAAAGCGCCTGATTCCACTGCGTCAAGACCCATTTGAAGAGCACTGGGGGAAAATGACGGTAGTCACAAACTGGAAATTGTGAGGGTGCCAATTTTAAAAGCTTGTGGACTCGTATCTTCATATTTGTTTGATTGGTGGTTTACTGTTAAGTGTTGTTGAATGGGAAATCAAACAGCAATAATCAACCAACAGTTGAACAGAAATACAGTTATGACTCAACAAGTGTTCAAAATTGGTACCCTCTCGATTTTCAGTTTGTGACTACAGTCGTTTTTCATGTGTAGTCTTCATTTGTATAGCCCAAATCCCCGCTCAACAGCAAACTCTATGCGCTTCACAATCTATACTACTACCCCCAGCAGACCTGTGAGCATTCTGAAACAATCCATTTTCATTTGTTCACCTGTATGTCTTCCTTTACTGGACTCATCTAATAGCGATTCAGATCATGTTGAAGGGGTCAGTATTGGAATTCGTGCTTTATTGATGGGTAGCGCTAGATCTATAAAATCCAATATATAAAATCGTGGGCGCGGCAATCAGGGTCAAGTTGGAGGATGGAATACACCTCAAAATCTACATTGTGCAATTGGTGTAACTCCCAACCACATACATTTACAAAAACTACATTCAATTTCTAACATAACTACGTACTCTGGGAAGAAGGCTGATGCAGTCAGCTCCTCTCGGGCCGAAGTGCCGGGCGCGCTGTCTTCCTGTGCCGAGGGGTCAGCGGGAGCTCGGGACAGCATGGCCACTTGCTCGATGATCTCCTTGTAGGTCACCACAAACTGGCGGAGTGTCAGCAGCCTCGAGGACTCGATGACACTGGTGCTGGTGTTGATCTGGTGGTGATGAGAGAGTGAGAGAGAGTGTGTGAGAGAGTGAGAGGGTGAGTGAGAGACAGAGTGTGAGAGAGGGTGAGAGAGAGACAGAGAGAGAGTTTTAGTTTTAGTAAGTGTTTTACAGCACTTGCAACACAATAAGGTCATATATAAGTGCCGAAGATTAGAGGTGTTACAAGAGAGTAACAAACACAAAAAAGAAGGTGGGGAGATAAAGACGATAGACGTTTGATAGGAAAGAAGAAGCAAACCACACCAGAGCACCTGCCAACCACCCACCAAAGAAAGATGTACCTTTCAACATCACCAAAACACAGTTTAATGTTACGGTCAAGGCTTACAAATTTCTGGCTTTTCATCATTCCTGATAAGTACAACGCCAAAAAAACAATATTTTTTTTGTCTCTTTGTGTAAAAAAAAAGCCCCCAAATGGACATAGGTGGATAGCTCACGACACAAACACATTTTTTTGCCAGTTCCACCTCAGGCCACAAGTTGGATGTAAATCATTCCTAGGTTTTGGCTTTAAAAGAAGAAGAAGAAGAAAAAAAAAAGGAATGCTCCTTACCTTATGGCAATTGCTAAAAAAAATGGAAAATCTAAATAAAATGAACAAGTTCATCAAAACAGACATAAAAGTAAATGAGGAGTCCACTGAAAAAACAGGCATAGTCACAAGAAGGAAACTGTGAGGGTATCAATTTTAAAATCTTGTGGACTCATAACTTCACATTTGTTTGATTGGTGGTTTATTTTATATCATGTTTGTTGGAAGGAAAAATCTAACAACAATAATCAACCAACAGCTGAACAGAAATACAGTTATGAGTCAACAAGTGTTCAAATTTGATACCCGCACGATTTTCAGTTTGTGACAATACCCGTTTTTTTTAGTGGACTCCTCATATATATACAATAACACAGACTTCCATACAAAACATTTCACAACTTTTAGTCCTAGATATTGAGGAGTGTGGGAGGGAGTTACATAAATAGGTGGAGACTGGAAACTAGGCACCAATACCAAAATACCCCAAAATTTGAACAGAAAAGATGTTACCTGTCACTGAGAATTTAACACCTGTAATGGAATAGAAAGTCAGGCAGCTGTACAACAAAGAGTCTCGGATTGGAACACACTGTTGTGGACACTTGACCACTTTTTACCACAAGTATCGCGGGGTTCTCGTGAAGAGGAGCACGGGGATCTCGTGAGTGGTGGTTCACGGGAAAGATATAAGCAGGCACTCACGGCTTTTGGGGGGACAGTGGAACAGTTGGACGTTAGATTTAGAAAGGGACAGAGCCAAGGTCCACACACTTTGCAGGAAATCTACTATGCACTACACTTGTTGAAATAAAATCGGAAAGGACTCAGGTGAGAGTTACGCATTTGTTATTTTGAATTGTTGTTTAAAAAGTAGTTGTGCTGTGTTCCGCAACACATTCAGGGTAAAAGATCAAGGGGAAGACCGCATGGAACCTGGAGAAGAATCACAGAAACTGATGTACAGAAAAGTAGAAAGACATGGAATAACACCAAAAGGCTAGCCTAGGATAGAGAACAGGGGAAAGTGTTTGTCCGTGGCCTATAACCTGATGCAGGGTGAGAAAGGCATAGATGATGATGAATGAAACAGTCTTGTATAAATGGAAAATCACCTTTAAACATCGTATTCTTATAGTTCCCTTCCAAAGGAATGTGGTGTCGGTCCCTCTTTTAATGAGAAAGCGAAGCTGCTTGCCAGCCCTGTCTGTGAAACTGCGCGTTCTGTGGAAGACAAGAAGTAAAGCGGGATGGATATTATTTCAGGCCTATCCATTTGCCTTACTTTTGATGGAAAAAGTATCCCTTTATCTTTCGTAGAAGTCAAGATATTTGCGATTGAAGGATGTGGGGGGCCACCTGGTTTTAGAGGTAAAATTAGTGAGAAAATGGCAACCAAAGTTGTGTTATTTTCTTAGCATGAGAGTCCATGGAAACTGAAAATTTACTTCTTTAATGCCTTTTATCAATTTGATGTCTTTCAGTAAAATCCACACAGAAAAGTGTTTTTTTAATTTAATGGGCATGAAAGGTGTCGAGCCAAAAAAACAAAAATTCCAAAACCTGAAGGAAAATGCCAGTTTCTTCAATTTCATTATTTTGACGAGCGCCTGATTTCACCACGCTGCCTCACATATATATCACCAGTTTTACGCGTCACCGGTTTCTCAGAGACAAGGGCTCAAAAGGTCAAAGGAAATGTTGTACGTACACAGTATTGAGCTCCTCTATACAGTCCACAACCTCGGCATGCGACACCGTGGCTAGACTCTTGACGATGTTGAAGTTTGCAGCAAACTGGCCCTGTAGCTGTCTGAGATCCCCATCAGCTGTAGACACTGAACTCGTAGCTTGACCCATTTTACATTCCACCACTATGATGATTGCGTAGTGCGGCTCATTGCTGAAAAAAGAATGTTTAGTTTTAGTCAGAGTTTTACAACACTTGCAACACAATAAGGTCATATAAGTGCCGAAGATTAGGTGTAACAAAAGAGTAACAAACACAAAAATAAAGGAGGAGAGATCAGGTCAGGACGATTGATGTTCGGTAGGAAAGAAGGAGCAAACAACACCAGAGCACCCACCAACCACCCACAAAAAAAGAATACAAACACATAACTATAAATCAGTACAGACCTCACAAGTCTAAAGTCCGGTCTGAATTTGTGAGCTACAACTCTGAATCTGAACTATGTACTTTTCCTGAATCTGCTAATCTTGCTGTAAAATGAAAATGGTCAAAATCATATGATCTATGGCCTCCTATCTAATTTTAAAAAGCAAGTGGCTATTCTCCGGCGTCACTTCTTCACAGTTTTCCACCTCCCATACACAAACACTCATCGGGGTCGGCATTTCTTCAGAGTGCGATTCATAATAGGTGGAAACGCAGCCATTATAGTACTCAAGAAAGCTCCAGGGACGGAAGAAGGAGGAATTTCTGTGTCAGAGGTGACAGCACCAGAAGCGCCAACAACCCTCAGTCACAATCAGAAGTACAGGAAGGCGCATCCGGCACTGAACTCACGCAGTTGCAACAATAATGGCCATAACGTGCCAACAGGGGAGAAGAAAAGCTGTGGAGAAGCGACATGTGCAACTATACTGGACGCCGGAGAATAGCCCTTGTGACGCACAATGACTTAAGTTTATACATATAACTCTTAAGTCATGCTGATTCCAAAATCAATTGCCAAAGACAAATTTATTGAAACAAAAAATTTGTAAATAATAAGTCTCCCAAGTAAGCGCTACTAGAATCTAGCAGGCAGGAATCATCAAGACTATCAGTCACATACACAATACAACAAGACCAAGAAACAAAAGGTATACCATACAATCACAACAACCTATTCTTGGTGTGCACAAGGCAAGAACGCTAAATCTACAACTAGGACTACTAGGATGTGTAGTCGATTACTCATTTACCATCATCACATCAGTGTCACTCAGTCAGCTGACAACAACAATCTATTGATTATAATCAAAATCTCCACCTTTTCAAACTCAAGGGTATGAAGTATCACATAGAAAAATAGTGATCATGTCGATAAATCCCCATTATAATTTACAGAAATGGCTAAACTACATTTCATCTAAATCTATAGGCCTAATTACCTAATAAATCACATGATCTGTTGTGAGAGTACAGTGACAAAAACCAGTGTGATGAAGATGAAGAACAGCAATTATCGAATCCGGACAACATAACACAGGATGACCAGGTTTTGGCCCCAATGACTGCTTAAGGCCTACTACCCTACTATCCTACCCCAGACCAGTATTAAGTTACAATTCACATTAAAATTTCATTACACTTGGGGCCAAGAGGAGATTGCCAAATCTTCTTCGTCTTCGTTCATCATTCGTGTTCATCTTTGACTTTACTGACTTCTTGGTTGTTTTGTTTTGGTAGCTTGCTAAATACAACAATAATTCTAAAGGAACTCTAATTAGTCTAATCCTGTTTACACACTGTCAACGTGAATGGAATTTTCTACCTTTGCAGTGCTTATTTAGATTTAGTGGTATAGGATTCACATTTCGCATGATGTACCTGTTGCCCGTGTTCCAAAATAAGTTTCTCCGTTCTGAGAACTGTGAAAGTGAGAAATGTAAACACCGGAAGTTGACCACAGCTGTTAGTATTAAAAAGTAAAACTTTTATTTACACAATATTACAGTTCAAACTTTAGAGAGGCCTCGCAATAATTGCGTGTGAAAACTGAGAGCATAATCACGAAGATTGAATCCAATCAAGAGAGTCATGCACGAATATCTTTGTTTTTAATGTGCGCCTAACTACTCTGGAAAGTGACACTTAAGTCAAAATCAAAATTAATTAACCCACCCAGGCATTCGTAACGGCTTGTCAGTGGTTTACATGTAAGGGTGTACGTGTTATCACGATATAAACAATTATGGAACAATTATACCACCAATTTCTAGGCATCAACTGATAAAATAAACAAACAAAACAAATACAAAATCATGACCAAAAACAAAAGAAAATACAAAAAACAAAAAACAAAAAACAAAACAACAACAACAATAACAACAACAACAACAACAACAACCCCCCCCCTTAAATTTCCGGGCCCGCTAAAAACAAAGCAAAACAAAAACAAAGACACGAAGATCAGTGTCATGAAAAGACACAACAGTCAGGTAATCTTTTCTTTTCTCCAATATTTGTCATCTGTGTCTTGTCTAATGTCAATACCATCATTTAACAAAATGTCACTTTGCGGTGACTCATATATTAGCTATGTAGCCTTTCTTTTCGTCGCTTTTGTACTTCACTCACGTTCTTAATTAAACCCGCGAACGTGACAAAGTTCATTCAGGTAACATGTTTCCATCAACAAAGATGAAATTAATGCACTTGAAGCACAGATATGTCTGCCTTTCATAGAAACAACAATCTTTGAAATTAGAGCAGAGCTGTTGAAGTTATAAGAACAGCACAGAATCCAGCATACACAGTCACACACAGGCAAATAACAAATCTGTGAAACTGTGTATGCTGGATTCTTTGCTGTTCTAATTACTTCAACAGCTCTCCACTAATTTCAAAGAATCAGATGGAAGTGACTATTATAAATATCGCAACAACCGTTCATCCGACTGTGATGAAATTTATACACATAAAAAACAAATATGTCACTGGTGCATGTACTAAGACTTGATGAGATTCACAGTCAACTTTGGAAGTTAAAACTGAATTAAGTGCAGCACACACAGATTAAATTCGATGAAATTCAGAACATTTTGCACACACTGTAACATTGGCAAATATCGTCGCATTGAGATGGGTTTTCGCTGACTGAGAGGGGGAATCTTTCTCTTTTCTTATTGTGTGGCATAATTCATGGTTAGAGTGAGGATACTGCCGATAATTAGAGTAAAAAATGTGGATTACGTCATGACCTGCCCGCCTGTAGCTGATGCACAACGGAGCGGCCAGTGACCCCCGCGTAACCCGGCACGGAGAGGTTCCGACGATGATTTCATGACCTCCACATGTCGCTGGCCTGGGAAACTAATACACCCCCCACCCCCCGCGGGCGGTCAGTGACTGAAGTGTCTCCACGCCATTCCCAAAGGAGGGACATTTCTCGTTCTAGTGCACAGTAGAATTGTAAATAGGCTGATCCAACAACGTCATGCTCATAACAGTGCCTGAACTACAACAAGGAACTGCTGCGTTTTCTTTCCCAATCCTTACTATCGTCATTTTCCTCTACTTCTTTTGTAATTTGTCACTCTCTTAATTTTAGACCCGCTATTTCCGGGGTGCCTTGATAGTCGAAGCAGACTTTGTGCTGTTGAGGCAAGAGAGGTGAGCAGAGTAAGCCTGATTCCCTGTAAGGACTTCTCAGTTGACATCCACCCCTTGGCGCTCATATGACCTTATGCAGTTTCGAGCGCCGTAAAACTTTACTAAAACAAACAAACAGCTCTAATTAATGGGGTACCAGCAGGGACCTTAACCCTATCCGTACGTCATGTTTTACTGTCGTATCAATACGACGTGGAGAACACTGTGCCACCACTTAACCCTATCCGTACGTCGTGTTTTACTGTCGTATCAATACGACGTGGAGAACACTGTGTCACCAGTTTTAACCCTATCCATACGTCGTGTTTTACTATCGTATCCGTACGACGTGGGGAACTCTGTGCCATCACTTAACCCTATCCGTACGCCCTGGGGTCATTTTGTACCCCCGGGGTTGTATTCTTCACATTTTAGAATACTTCTAGAGCTAAGCTCTCTTTGAAACTTTCAGTATTAATCCTTTGGTATAAGGTGATTT